TATTATGTAAAAATTACATTCCATTAATTTATATAAAATTTATATATTGTCATAATTGGAAAAAAAAAAAAACAACCTTAACCATCAGAAAAATGTAGGCTTTTATTTGTTGTTTTTATTTAGGAGTTAAATTTGACCTGGACATGCTTTTTTTCCCCGTGAGATTGACCAAATACTTGTTTGTTTTTACCTCTCAGTGTTATTTTATTATTATTTATATATTATTATTGACATTCTGAATTCATTTTTTATTACATTTTCAGTTTTCATTTTAACTTTAGTTTAAATTTTAGTCATTTTATCTACTATTGTGATTTTTATTAGTAATTTTGTCATTATTTATTAGCTTGTTTTTATATATATTTATTTTTAGCTTTAATTTATTTGTCTTACAATTTTAGTTTTAGCAATTTTAGTACTTCAATTTATTTATATTTTCAGTTAGTTACCAAGAAAATGTTTTTAGTTTTTCTATTTTTTTATTGTATTCTATTTCAGATTTATTTCAATCAACAAAAAAAGTTTTTAATAGTGTTAGTTGTAGCTAACAATAACAACACTGGTACCTCCTAAAAGTGTCAAAAACGACAGAGTCATCACAGTTGATGGCGTCGCAGTGTCCTGGCGGCAGACACAAGTCTCCAACCTGCATGTCATAGCAGGGAATGCCGTGCTGTACAACAGTAAGGCTCGGATAGAAAGAAGACCACCCTAACACACACACACACACAGATTAGATTAATAATTTGAATCACATTTATCTTTTAATGATACTGCATAGAAACAGACTTCTGCATTTACCTTTATTTTTCACAAAAAACGGATGGTCCAAACGGCACTCAGCGGTCAGAAGCCCTGCTTCAGAGGAACCAGGGTCAAAGGTTAATTTCAGGACAGACTGGCCGAAAGACACACTCTCCTCAAAGACCACCAGCTTTAGCCCATCAGAGCCATAATTCTGCAAAATAAAAAAACTTAAATTACTTTGGCAATAAGATTTTTCAATGCATTTTTAAAAGTTACTACTGGATGAATTCATTAAAGGAATAGTTCACCCAAAAATGAAAATGTGCACACTCTCAGACCATCCAAGATTAGGATGAGTTTGTTTCTTCATCAGATTTGGTGAAATGTAGCATTGCATCACTTGCTCACCAGTGGATGCTCTGCAGTGAATGGGTGCCGTCAGAATGAGAGTCCAAACAGCTGATAAAAACATCACAATAATCCACTATTAATCCACATGACTCTAACTTCAAACCTTTGCTTCCGTTTAAAATATGAGTCCCCTATCCATAATATTGCTTTCTTCATTGAAAAATCATCTTGACTGAATCAGGTGGATTATTTGTGGATTATCGTGATGTTTTTATCAGCTGTTTGGACTCTCATTCTGACGGCACCCATTCACTGCAGAGCATCCATTGCTGAGCAAGTGATGCAATGCTACATTTCTCCAAATCTGATGAAGAAACAAACTCATCTACATCTTGGATGGCCCGAGGGTGAGAACATTTTCAGTCAATTAAAATTTTTGAGTGAACTATTCCTTTAAAAGGCGAAAGAATGACATCCTTTAAAATGACATCTGACTGACGTGTTCATCATTACCTTCATTGGGTTGGACTGTGTTCCTCCCTCGTCATCTGAATCTTCATCCGACTCCATCACGTCCTCTGCATCCTGCCACTCCACGTTCGGACCTTTGTGGAAGCGTAGACGTGTTCCTGGAGGAAAAAGACAAGAGACAAGTGTTTGGAAAGAGATCTCCATATATCAAAAGAGAGAAAAGTTAAACTAAACACACTTTTGTTCAAATAAAACTTCAATGCAGTTACATAAAGACAAACATGTTCCAGGCACAGAGTGTGAGGACCAGAATCTCGTTGGCCCTCCTGTGACCCAGAGACACGCCTGCTTTCCCCTTTTACTCCTGCTGCTCTGCATTTGTAACAGCAGAAGGTGCTGTTCACCACATTTCTTGAAGTCAATGATAAAAAAAACTGCCATCACAATATCAGCTGCTATTTTGCTCCCAAGCTTCTGGGAACACTTTATCTGTGTGTCTTTACCTTTCAGGAAACAGTGCCAGGCAGTGGAGGGCCAGGAATGGGACCATCCCAGCTCATCATCATCAGACAGAGACGACATGCAGAAAATTCCTGACTCGGACTCGCTGCTTGCCTGCAAAACACACATAAAACAAAGTTTGTACTATATGCTATTTACTCTTTAACTCTCAGCCAAGGTCCAAAATTAACAGTAAATAAAATTACTGAGCCATGTGGCTGCTAACTTTATTAGGAACATAATGCATGCTTTCAGTCGAACTGTAAGAATGATGGAGACATATTTTTTACAGAGAGATTAACTTGTAAACAGTGTTGTTACCTAACTAAAACTATTAAAATTAGTTTTCATTAATTAAAATAAAGCTGAAATGAAACAAAATATATATTTGATGGAAAAAGAAAATGAACTGAAATAAGTTGAAGTACTAAAATTACTAAAACTGAAATAAAAATAAGGCTAAACAGAAATATTTTTTTAATTATAAAAACTATAAAAGCAAAGCAAAATTACTCAAATTAAAATGAAAACCATGGTTATTACAGTTAAGGACAACTAAAACTATTCAGAACATTTTTGTTTATTGAAATTAAGCTGAAATAAATTAAATATAAATATTAGATTGAAAAAGTTTAACTAAACAAAAAAAATAGACATGTTGCTTTTGTCAACTGAAATAAGTTTATGTTAAAGCACTAAAATTACTAACTGGAAATGAAAAGTAAAAATGAATTAAACTAAAATAAAAATAAAGTTAAATAGTAATATTAAAAATAAAAACTAATAGAAATGACAAAAGCACACAACAAAATTACTAAAAATGTAATTAAATTGAAAACTTTAAATATAAAAATTAAAGCTAATTAAAAATAAAAATAATAGTATATCAATGAAAAAGATGATGAAAAGTTATTAGTAACCTTATTAAAAACATAAATAAATACTATAATAGTATATAAATAATATTAAAATGACACTGACATGCTGTGAATATATATATATATATATATATAATGCTGTTTCTCAGTTCATTCAACATTGGCAAGTGTGACAAAAAGTTAATTCTGGACCTTGATAACAACACATAACATTCTCAAAAGCTCTTAAGCCATTCATGAAATCCCATTATAAGTGTTTGCTAGGGATGCACCGATAGGATTTTTTGGGGCCGATACCGATTTTAACAAACGCTTATTGGCCGATACCGATATTTGTCACTTCCTCTCTTTTTTGAAATTTTGGCATCAAAATAGATAATATTTTGATCATGTTTTAAATCAGCAAAGTTCAAAAACACCTGCATTAAATTATACTAGCAGTTTTATTGCTGCATCATCAAATAATTTCTAATGAACATGGATCGGATCCATTTAACATTCAGCAGGCCTACATAAATACAACAGAACAAAGATACATATTAAATAAACAGTGCTTTTTAGGTAGGTTTAACAGTTTTCAAGTACAGAAATAAAGTAAACAAATGTAAAATAACACTTCACTGTATAAATCAAATACATATTAATCCTTCTTTATTGTAACAGACTTTATTATGATTAATCTTCTCATTTGTTTTTGTATACATTTTAATATTTTTAAATATTAAATATCTCATACATATAAGTTTAAATATGTATGAGATCTCCTTTACTAAGGCAGGACTCTTATTTTGACAGGTTTTCTAGTCTACGGATCAGCTATATGGGTAATGAAAGCACGCAGTTCTTCGGATTTAAATTTTGTCAATTTATTAAGCACCCCCCGAAAAGGCATGAGATCTGTATATATTTGTTTACTGTTAGTTGTAATAAGTGTTTTGTGTAATTCACTGTATGTTGATAATGCAACTGAGAGAGAGAGTTTAATGTGCACTTCGCGTGCTGTGTTTTGTTTAGCTCTTATGGTGATTTTTTTGGAGTGAAAAAGGACGCAATAAACTTAATAAAACATCAGTAAAGTTTTGGTCATCATTCAGATAAGGTCCGCTACACTTATGAAAGTTACAAAAGTTATTTAGTCGAGAAAAGGTGTGCGATCTTTTGTTATTTGTTTAGCATTAAAGTGCAGACAGCAGCGCTAGGATTATGCAACAGACATTATACAGCTCAGTGCCTTCACGCAGTTAATTAATAAACCATCGATTTGTTATATCGGCCTTATATAGCCGATATGCCGATGGTTGTAAATTGAGGAAAAATCGGCCGATAAATATCGGTGGCCGATACATCGGTGCATCCCTAGTGTTTGCATTTGTAAAGGCCCGTGGTGGTACCCTGGTGCGACGGCGTTCCCTCATGTGGCTGCGGGCGGGACTGGGAGCGCTGCTGGAAGACAGAGGGGGTCTAGCATAGGAATGTAAACTGCTACTGTTGGAGAAGATGTGGAGAGGAGAAGACCTGCAATGATAATGCATCATCAGTACAGCTGTGCTGTGCAATTTACATTCATGTGCAATTGTAGAAATGCCAGGATTTCCTGACCGGTTGTGTGGAGCGTTCTGGAGCAGGGGGCTTTGAGGGCTGGTGGCGATGTTGGCCAGCTCAGTCAGCCAGTTTGTGTGTGAAACGCTGCCCTCAGGCCTGGAGTTCCAGCCCTCGACGGGCCCCTCCTCATGATGCGACACACCCGGGGCCACCTGGAACACGCCCGGGGTCGACCGGTCATCCTGCACCTCCTGCAGCTCAGGCAGGTCATCTGCAGAGATGGAAACTGTCATTGCAAATAGTGTTTGGAATCAGAAATTAGATTTTTATGTTTTCAGAAGAAAATACGAGCGGTAAACATAATTACCGTACTCCATGTGACTCTCATTAGAAGGGCAGCCAGGTGAGGAGGGCAGGCGCTCGTTGCATTTAAGCAGATCGAAGGCCTCGTCCATACCTGAGCTCTGTGTCTGGATTTCCTGGACTCTCTGAGGGACCGACTGAGTTTTCACTTCCCACACCATATTATGACATGTCAGCTGTGCAGGCTGTGAATGCAAGTGAAGCGTTAAAGCGAAAGCAAAATGGGTAGGTAATTTCCAAACCAGCTTACTTACACATTTTTACTTTGTAGGCATTTGTGTTGAATGAATGAATGAATGAATGAATGTGGGACAACAAAAGTAAACACAGGAACAACAACTGTTCTGTTGGGTATTGTGCAATAGGTTCTTGGCCACTGTCCGATCACGTAGAGCACTGGTAGTATTCGCTTCTTAATGAAATGATTGAAATTAAAAGGCTTGGATCCTTAAAACAAATTTCGTCGTGTTAAATAACGCGTTCTGCCCGTTTCTGTGAAGCGTTGTCACGTGACCCGCATTGCACGCAAGGCTTGTTTATAAACGTTCTGTGACTTCGCGCATGCGCAGCGCAGCTCATTCATTCATAACTGCGTAACAACGGGGGATCAATAACAGCGATAGATTGCGCTATAAAAATCACCGTAACTTTTGATAATCGCAGATGGAAGTCCCCCAGTTCGATCCGATCGAAGATAAGTCCGTGTTTATGAGTGGAAAGCTTTAATTTGTGGCCATTTCGCTCGCTCGACGGTTTCAGTTTTTTCCACACAGGAAGAAAATACGATTTTTCTGCACTCGCGAATTAACGAAAACAAAACAAACGGAAGCGCATAGATGTTTTGGCTTATAACTGATATTTTAAAACGAATATTGTCGTTGTTATAGCTGAACACGAGAACAATAACTTCAATACGGCTGTCGAAACAATACGAAGGTCTTTGTTTGGAAAAAAATCGTCAAAAACTAATTAACAGCTGCAGTATTTAATCAAACGACATCTTATACAGATTACAGAACATCCAGCTCGACACCAGACGTTTGATCGATGTAGAATAATGAAGATAAATGCTTAAAAATGAACTCAAATGTCAACAGTGGGAGCTGTAAACAAAAGAATGTCAACAAGTTGAGACACGGTACATCAAGTACTTCCTTTAACCCCGCTGTAATGAATGGAGACCCTGTTTTCTTCTGGGTTTAAATGGAAAAAACACGACTGGTTGTTTTTAATTATTGTCGCTGTGGTGAGGTACGTTTGAGAATTACTAAACCACAAGCAAAACAACAAACGTCACAGAAAAAAAAACCCTTCCAAGTGAAAAGTTGTCATTTGCGATCGAAACAATGAATGACAGTCTTTTTGCTCCCCGCGGCCTCAACCGTCGCCGTCTAAAATAGCCACGCAAAATAAAGTTCATTGACATTACCGTTTCGTTTCGTGGTAATATTTCAACAACTTCTTTTTACTTACCAAACCTGTCGCCATTACAGAGTATCTCTGGCGTTCTCCGCGAAGGCAGGACTGATTACTTTTAGATCTGGCCTCCCATTGGTGGAAACGCGCGTCAGTTTGGTGAGCTCGAAGCGTGATTGGCTAGTCGCTCGCACACTGGGTTAGACATAGATGGTTTGTTATTGTGTTTGTGATTGGCCAGTTTTGCATGTCCGTTACATCACCCGTGAATCTGATTGGCTGAGACGGAATTTTTTTTTTTGAAAGACCCTCCCACTTTGTTAAATAGGGGATTTGAGGTATGTATCGTCTTGAGACGATGTAAACAATAATAAAAATAATATTACAGCTCATTAAAAGTGAAATAGCTGATGATTGGCCGCATAAACGCACGTTATGGACGCGTAAATTATATAAAAATAAAAATCTGAGGAAGTTTAATGGCATTTCTATCAAAATGTTACTCAGTGAGGTCACACATGCATATTATTTGTAGCATAGGACTTAGCTGTAATAATCACAACATGATTTAAATACAAAATTGTTCTTTATTTGAATGGAAAGTCAAATATAACTGACAGTATAATACTAGGCTCTCTTGCACCAAGAGACTGTAGACCTTTGATCCATTTTTCAGGACATAAAAAGCATTAGCGACTTTTAGGTGGCAGAAATTCACACAGAAATGAGCACTGATTGGCAATTAAAAGTCATTAGAAATGGTGTAAAGTTACACTGACACGCAGATATGGTTTAGGGATTCACTACAGGTTAGTTTACCATGAGACAAACCTGTGGGAATCTACATGGGAAGAGGTGATGATGGCTAAGCTGTTCATATTAGAGGTAGACAGTAATGAATCTTCAGTAATGTTTTAGGAAGAAATGCACACTACTAGTAATGCATGACTTGCTGTGAAGCAAAAGATCCAATTAACAAGGACGAACTTCTCATACATCAAGAGATAGAGAAAAACAGTGTCCAAATACTGCGGGAATGAAGAATAAAGCAAGTGTTTTGAAGGAGCCAAAAGCTACCAGAAACAAAATAAACGTAACTCAAAAATATACGCAGACAAAGAGAGGAATCATTCAGACTTCTTCAGAGAAAGCAAATGTCCTTGGTTACTTTTTGAGCATCTAGAAAATGAATGTGAACGTACAATGTGTGCATCTCAGTTCATTGTGAAGTACTTAAAAATGTGAACAAATCATAAAAATGTGCTACACCATTTTAAAAGTAAAGATACACAATGCCTATATTTACTATTCATATGTGGCATTGAGGAGCTTCTCTAAAAGACTTAAAGAAGGAATTAAAAACACGTAGAGCTGTGAATTCTCAAGTTCACCCAGAAATGAAAATTTGAATGAAATGAATGTAGATGAGTTTGTTTCTTCATCAGATTTGGAGAAATGTAGCATTGCATCACTTGCGCACCAATGGATCCTCTGCAGTGAATGGGTGCCGTCAGAATGAGAGTCCAAACAGCTGATAAAAACATCACAATAATCCACAAGTAATCCACACCAGCTGTTATCGGTAATATTGTTAGTTATTCTGACGGCACCCATTCACTGCAGAGGATCCATTGGTGAGCAAGTGATGCAATGCTACATTTCTCCAAATCTGATGAAGAAACAAACTCATCTACATCTTGGATGGCCCGAGGGTGAGCACATGTTCATTTTTGGGTGAACTATTCCATCAAATTAGGTATTTTCATTACACTGGCATCAAAGTGCAATAACATTCAGACTGCATTTTCATTTTTATATGTAATCAAGTCTGTGCATCTCCATCTCCTTTTCTCGTATCATATTCTCAAGCAATTTGAAAGTTTATTAACTCGGGGAAGTATAATGAAACTTGAGTATTAAAGTCAACGTGAAACACAGTTTACAACTAATTTTACTTCTGTAATCTGAAGTATTGAGTTAAATAGGATATTCAACAAGAAAAAAAAAATGGATGGGACCTGATTTTATTTATCAGAATTGATTGGACAGTAAAAAAAAATGGGTGTTTCATACCAGAATAAATTTGTGATTTCATCTGAAAACAAATGTTGGTTTAGAGGCATTGCCATTTTTAATACAAACTTGTTTTTTAACTAATGTGCTCTAAGTAAAAATTTTCAATTTTAGTTTTCATGTTGACTTTAAACTCTGCAATTCATGAAGCTCAGGTGCTGAATTCATATTTAGTCAAAAATTTCTTACAGTAAAAATGACTTACATAACACTGAAAACATTAACAGATGCTCAACAGCAGATTTTAAAATCCAGAAATATAGCTTCAAAAGAATAAATTAACATGTTACTGTGCTGTATATGGCATAATAATGCAGTCTTTGTGTGGACGTCACTGTAAAAGATGCAGCATGTGAAAGAAACAGCAACCGAAGAAAAGTTTCGATACCAAATAACTATGAGGAAACTCCCATAAACCTGGAGTACCCTGGAGGAAAATGCTCACATTTGGCTTTTCACATCTAAAAAAAAATCATGATCATTGACACACATCTGTGTGTTTCACATCTGTGAATGCAAAACAATAACTTCGAGTTTATGACCTATGTTAACACGATTTCTTGGCCATGATGACGGGCCTCTACTTACCATGTTCTCATCGTTTCATGTTGCATTTTAAGTTTGCGATGTTTATTGATGAACTGATTTCATGCATCCGGCTCCTCTATTGCGATGTGACTCCTGAAGAGCGTGATCAGCTGCTCCTCGTAATTCGCTATGTTTCGTTTCATGATGTCCATGCAGGGGCCTAATAACCTCTCAAACGCCTGCACGTCCATTACTGTGAAGCACAAGGTGAATGATCACATGACCCGCTGTGCAGCTGCGATGCATTATGTTGTATCATTTATAATATGCATTACCTAAGCATTTGACGCTGTCCATGGCATATGCAGATGCTGCCCGTGGCTTGTTAGTGACGAGTGCCAGCTCTCCAAAATACTGGCCTCTAGAGCATGTGGCGATTTCCACCTCCTCATCTTCAGTATTGTTTTTTGACTAAAAAAAAACAATGTCATGTAAAATGCAAGTGAATCTTTTCAAGCTGAAGGATTTCTTGGTTTGTTAAGACGCATAATGAACTGAATTGTGCTGATTCTTTGTTAAAACCGATCGTTTGACTCACCTTGCTCCTCTTCATAGTGATCCTAACGTGTCCTGACTCTACAATGTAGAAAGAATCTGCCAAATCACCCTGGGAAAACAAGATAGTTAGATAAACACTAAGCACTACAGATATACTAAGTTTGGGGTCTCTTCTGCTCACTAAGACTGCATTTATTTGATCAAAAATACAGCAAAATCAGTAATATTGTGAAATATTATTACAATTTAAAATAACTGTTTTCAATTTGAATTTATTGTAAAATATAATTTATTCTTGTGATGCGCAGTTGTATTTTCAGCATCATTACTCCAGTCTTCAGTGTCACATGATCTTCAGAAATCAGTATAATATGCTGATTTGCTGCTCAAGAAACATTTCTGATTATTATCAATGATGAAAACTGATCACATTTTTGTGGTATTTTTTTTCAGGATTTTTAAAAGAATAGAAATAACACGAAAACAGCATTTATGTGAAATAGAAATCGCTTTGTAACATTATAAATGTATTTAATTGTAATTATTTGTCATTTTTAATTTTAATGATTAACCCTTGCTGAATAAAAGTATTAATTTCTTATAAAAAATGTAATTGATGGAATTGTATTTTTATATTATATTATATTTAGGGCTGTCAAATTGATTAATTGTGATTAATCACATCCAAAATAAAAGTTTGTGTTACACAATATATATGTATGTGCTGTGTATATTTATATGTATATATAAATACACACACACACATACATGTGTATATATTTAAGAAATACATGTAATATAATATAATACATGTATAACATATATATATATATATATATATATATATATATAATATTTCTTTCTTAAATACATGTATGTATGTGTGTGTATTTATATATACATATAAATATACACAGCACATACATATATATTGTGTAACACAAACTTTTATTTTGGATGCGATTAATCAGTTTGACAGCCTTAAATATTATATTATGACATTATACATATTATAACAGATAGCTAAATTACTTAAATTAGATGAACCATTAATTCAAATTACTTTATCAGTTTAATAAATTGCTTAAAACAACAACTGTTAAAAAATTCATTCAGTTTGTACTCACAAATTGTGCTCAATCTGATGAAATATATTAGTGCTGAGCATAAATACAGACATTAAATGGTAAAAGAAATGTCTAGGCCTGAGTCACTAAAGTTCCCTAAAATGTCCAGGTTTTTCATGACTGTGGGAACCCGTAATAATTACTTACAAATCTTAGCAGTAAATCTTTGTTCATTAGTGGTGTCAGATCTCTAACCTGAGCAATGATCTGTTCCCCACTGTTGTACACTTTGGTCGACAACACATCAACAACCTTCATTCTCTCTGAAACCTGAAAACAAGAGACGCAATTATTTATCAAATCAACGGAAACTCAAATGACTTATCACAAAATAATGAAATAGAGTTAGCAGATAACATTTTGGTACAAGTTGCAGGGATGAATACAAAAGTGTGTGTGTTCAAACCTCCAGTGACGTGAGCAGTGGAAGAGTCCCGATGAAAGCCTCGTACATTTTTCTTTTCTTCGCGTTGTTCTTTACGATGATCCTTCTGAATGTCAACCGATCCTAGAGACATTTAAACAAAGCAAAAACAAGTTACTATTTTACACTCCAGGAAAACAGACAAAGGCATACATAGAAAGAGAGATCGAGTCTTTATAATCCTGTCATTTCAGTACTTTCTGTGAACAGCAGGGGGCTGCACAAATAATACATGAAATGCACTTGGAGCAAGAAACAATATATTTAGCATTTGATTTTACTGTAAACTTAAATACCAGGTTGTTGTTGTTTTTTTGTAAAAACCAGTTATTTAGAAAAAGTTGTACTGCGATTGCATTGAATTCACGCTACTGCAAATTCATTAAATTATGGGTTGTTGTTGTTGTTTTTTTCCCTCTACAGAAGAAAGAGTCATAAGACTGTTATGGGTGAGTAAATTACAGTGTTATTTAAGTATCATTGACATACTATTATATTTTGTTAATATTTTTAATTAGATTTTATTTTTATTATTTATGTTTTCATTTTAATTTTAGTTAAAGTTGTTGTGTTTTTGTCTTTTTTTATAACTTTCAAATTTTAGTTTTAGTTATTTTAGTACCTCAACTTTTAACTAAAATGAGAAATGTTGCCTTGGCAAGTAGCTGAAATAAAATCCATCCAAGTTTTTTTAAAGTATATTTTATTTTATTTGTAGTTAATGTTTGTTTCATTTCACGAAATGAAATTTTTATGGGTTTTAATTATGGAAGCTCATTTCTGCCACAAAAAAAAAAAAAAAAAGGGAATTCTGGGTTTTTATCTCCCAATTCAGTTTTTTAAAGGGTACAAGATAAAGTCACTGTAAAGTCGTATTATATTTAGCTTCAAGTAAATGCATTTAAAGGGGTCCTATTATGCTCTTTTACAAAGTCTTGATTTTGTTTTGGGGGTGTACTAGAACAGGCTCTCATGCATGGTGGTTCGTAAACATTTTTTTCACATCATTTACATTAATAAAATACCTTTCTCCCCAGCCTGGCACAAACGGCTCGATTAGTTCCGGCTTTGATGAAGGTCCACCTTCCAAAAAACAAAATGTGTTGTGATTGGTTAGCTGTCCCAGTGCGTTGTGATTGGCGAACAGCTTAGACGGTGTTTCAGTACTGCCACGCCCCTTGCTCCGTCTTTCAACAAAAGCTTTTTGGCGAATCCGGCACTGCACTCCCTCGTGTTGTGGAAGCTGTCCTCAGTAAAATGCGCAGCACACAATAGCAAATTGGGGTTATAATGCTCAGGAACAGAGTTAAAAAATAAATTGCAACCACTGTTTCCTGACATCATCCGCTTTCGGAAGCCCAAACGAAGACGTTTGGGCACGGAGGTGAAAAAAACAGCGTTTCAGGCGGTCGCGCACCGGACGAGAAGCACAGCGTCATTGTTTTCTATGAGTGTAGCACACCGGCGGCGTCGTTCGGCGTCTGTCCACGGCGCCCAGCTACGTCGTGTTGTACTTGTAAGAATTGTTCTAGACATGCCGAAAATTTGACGCTACAGCACAGCAGCTCTTCTTCTTAATTTTCTCTGATGCACTAACTCTGCAGCAGCACTTCTTCTTCGTCGTCTCGTCTGATGCACGCACTCAACCAAGCGTTCTAACCACAACCTCGCCCCTCCCCACCCCCCAACCATTCCAATTTCGCTAGGCGGGAATTATTTGTAATGATATTCTAATGGGCCACTTTGTGATATCACAAACCCCGGAAAACAAACGCTGTAGTCCAAACGAGGCGTTTGTTGTAGTTCTTGAAAAGGGATTTTTTTAAAACGAAATATCTCCCTTTGGAGTGGACTTTGAGATTTGTAACTTTCTAGATCTTTTTAATGCCCAAACATACACACTACACACTGACTAAAATTTAAAAAGTGAAAAAGCATAATAGGACCCCTTTAAGGAAGCTTGTTTCCACCACAGGATAAAAAAAAAGAAAGAAACTGCAACTTTTTATCTCAGAATTCTGACATTTTTTTCACACAATTTTGAGTTTATATTGATATTTTTTCTCAGAATTACAAGATTAAACTCGGAATTATGATAAAGTCCGAATTCTGAGTTTACATCTCGCAATTCTACAAAAAAAATTTCTCAGAACTGCAAGTTTATATCTCACAATTCTGAGTTTACATCTTTGCAATTCTCCGAAAAAAGTCTAAATTGTAAGATAAAATGTCACAATTACCTTTTTTTTTTCTTTTTTAACTGAGCGGCAGATAAGGGCTTCCATAAATAATAACCCTGGAGCATGATGACAGAAATGACTCACGAGGCACCACAGGGCTCCAGATGAGGTAGCGATGATGGTGGCGGCCCTCGGCGTGTTGTACATGAGGGCCAGCTCTCCAAAACTCCCACGGTTGTCATAAGAGCCCACGGTCCGCGTGGTGCCGTCCGCTTTCAACATGATGTCAAACGTACCCCTGCGCGAGAAACACAATGAGATCTCGACGTCTGAAAGGTCTAAACACCAGCATCATGATCCAAAGATGAACATTTATACCTCTCAATGACGTAGAAGTTGTCGCCATCGTCGTCTTGATCGATGATGTGCTCTCCGGTCACCACTACCTTCTCAAACATGCCATCCAGGACTTCAGACATCTGCTCCTGTTGGTTTGGAGAGCAAAATATGAGCCTTTCTTGTGTTAAAGGGAGAGTTCAGCGAAAACGGATGGTTTTGTCATTATTGTTTCTTCTGTCAAATATAAAAGGAGATATTTAACAGATTTCAGGGTTTGTTCCCAGTGTTGTTACAGTTAGCTACATCTAAAACCATTAAAAAATATTACTTGAAATAAAATACATTAACTGAAAAAAATATTAAAATAAAAATGTCAAAAAACACACAACAGCAACAAGAACAAAAAAAAACTTGAACAAAAATTCAAATGAAAAGAAAATATAAAAATCAAAATGAACTATTAATAAAAACTCTAATAGTATCTCAAATGATAAAAATGTAAACTATTGAACTTTTTTTTTTATTTGAAATAAAGCTGGAATAAAATAAAATATAAATATTATGAAAAATGACTAAATCAAAATGCTGCCTTTGCTGCTAACTTAAACTAACTTAAAACTGATATAACCCTGACATAAAAATTAAATAACCCTAAATCATAATATTAAAAGAAAGAAAGAAAGAAAAAACGAATAAAAATGACAAAAGCACATAACGAAGCTACTAAAAATAAAAATAAAATAAAACTGAAAACGACCTAAATAGTAATATAATAAAAAACGAAAAAAATGACAAAAGCACATAAGAAAATTGATAAAAATTTTACTAAAATTAACCTGAAATATAAAAATAAAAGCTAATCTAAAAATCTTAATAAAAACTATAAAAGAATGTAAATAATACTAAAATAGCACTGGTTTGGAACATCAAGGTGAGTAGATGATGACAGGTTCATTTTTTTATCTTTTTTTTTTTACATAATATGCAAGACAATGAGACAACTTTTTAAAAATATACTAAACAAACCATCCATGTTAATGTTAGTGGTTCTTTAAAAAAAAATAGCCAAACCTTGCATTTCATTCTCTCGTAAACAGCTGATAATCTTACCTGGTCCAGGTTTTTGAACAGTAGGATGTCTTTGCAGGCTTCCTGTAGTCTCTGTCTCTGCTCGTCTGTTTTAGGGTGAGTGACCTGAGGGCACAGCAAAGCATGACGGGATACTGGGCAGCAGATGCCACAGAAATGCATAAAAGAGGAGGAACTCTCTGTCGCCGGAGCATTTCAATAGCAGGTTTCGAGAGGCCACTCACCCTGGGTTCTCTCTCCTCTTCATCCTCATCAGGGTTGTACGCCTCCGCACAAACTGTCCAAAGACCAATGAATTAGGAAATCGGAAGCAGGATTAGAGTCGAAAACAAATCAAACCGACCAGTCTAGACAACGCATTACTGCGCAATTAAAATACAGAGCTTTGTGCAACCTGTTATAATAAAAACAAGCCATTTTAAGAGCATCTGAATCTTCATGTCTACATTCAAACACTGGATTATTGGATTGTTTTTAAATGGTTAACACATAACTATTACAATACTGTAATAATGACTCTTTTAGTGAAACACAAAAGGAGATGTTTAGCAGATTGTCCAAGCTGCTCTTTTATAAACTTGAATACAATTTACAATTTTCAGTGAATAATAGTTTAAATTTGGGTATGTTTCTCACACAAATCTAATCCAATCAAATCTAAAATTAGAGACACTGCTTTGGCAGCTAACTGAAATAAGTAAAAATTAATTATAAATAAAAATAAAATAACCTAAACATTATTAAATATAAAAAAATAATAAAAAAAAAAGACCAAAGCACATAAAAAATTACTAAAAATGAAAACTACAACTGAAATACAAATAAATAAAACACAAATAGTAATATTAAAAAAATATAAATAACATGACAAAAGCACATAACAAAATAACGAAAAATGGAAAACTAAAATTGAAATGAATAAATTGAACCTAAATAGTAATAAAATGACAAAAGCACAAAGCAAAATTACTAAAAATAAAAATTAAAACTGACATAAAATAAAATAAACTCAAATATTTAAAATAAAATAATAAAATGACAAAAGCACATCAAATTACTAAAAATGAAACAAAAATAAATTATACCTAAATAGTTATATTTAAAATAAAATAATAAAATTACTACAAATTAAAAGTAAAACTGAAATAAATATAAATTAAACCTAAATAGTAATATTTAAAAAAAACAATAAAATATCAAAAGCACAAAAAAAAATGACTAAAACTAACATAAAAAATAAATTAAACCTAAATTGTCATTTTAAAAAGAAAATAATAAAATGATAAAGTGCTTAAAATTCCTAAAAATGGAAACTAAAATTGAAATAAAAATAAATAAACCTAAATAGTAATATAAAAAAACTAATAAAATTACAAAAGCACATACTAAAAATGTAAAAAAATACTAAAAATGAATCAAATATAAAAAAAAAACTGAAAATATAAAATAAAAGCTAATTCAACATATTAATCAATACAGTCCATGAGTTGCATAAGCTACTTTTATTACTTTACAATGCTTTTTTTTCTTTCATTGTATGGAAAACAGAAGCTCAGATGTTCTGTAAACATCTCCTTTTATGTTTCACAGAAGAAAGAACGTCATATGGGTTTTGAAACAACACAAGGGTGAGTAAATGAGTAAACTTTCATTTTTAGATGAACTATTCGAGAAAAGTTTGCAGGAAATCTGGTCCAGCTGCTTGCAGCACATACAGCGAGAGAGATGAGAGGATCGGCTGCTCTCCACTATTCCTACCATAAATACCAGAGATGACAAGACCAGGAACTCCACTAGATCTAGTCTAGATCCATACTCCACTCGCAGACGAGCTAGACCTGAAGTTTCAGGGCCATGAACCCTGCAGGAACTGTCTAGACTGATCTAGCTCACAGCTTTAGATTGTTTACTTCAGTCCAGGGCCTGTTTCACAAAGTTTGGTCCTTAACTTCAAGTAAAGTTCAGCTCATCTGATGTGCTGGAAAATCACAGGAATAGAGGTCAAACGTTTTGTGTTTTGTCTTTGTTTCTTTATGCTGTACAACATTCACTATCGTTCAAAATATTGGGGTTGGTAAGATTTTTTAAATGTTTTTGAAAGACTCTTCTGTTCACCAAGTCTCCATTTGTTTGATCAAAAATACAGTAAAAACAGTAATATTGTGAAATATTATTTTGATTTAAAATAACTGTTTTTTATTTGAATATATTGTAAAATGTAATTTATTCCTGTGATCAAAGCTGTATTTTCAGCATCATTACTCCAGTCTTCAGTGTCACATGATCTTCAGAAATCATTCTAATATGCTGATTTACTGCTCAAGAAAAACATTTCTGATTATTATCAATGTTGAAAAGTTAATATTTACTTATTTGTTTATTGACTGATTCTTTGATGAATAGAAAGTTCAAAAGAACAGCACTGATGTGAAATAGAAATCTTTTGTAACATTATAAATGTCTTCACTGTCACTTTTTATCAATTTAATGCATCCTCTCCGAATAAAAGTATTAATTTCTTTAAAAAAAAAAAAAAAAACTGACCCCAAACTTTTAGTGCAAGTCTACACTTTATGTCATTCTTGATCACATCTGGTCTGATCTGAGCTGTTTTCAGTCACAAGAGTTCAAACCTGACATGAAATAAACCAGATGGGGAACAACGTTTAACACGTTGCGTTTTATAGAAGCTTTTTTCCATTACAATAAAGTGCCTGACAAGATATATGTAGGGACGATTTATCTATCTATCTATCTATCTATCACATCAATATAAGGACTGCATATGTTCCTCTTCCTGACACTATAAACTCATTTCTGTATAATTGACCACCAAACTTCTACTTTTGTCCATTATAATCAGCCTTCTGTCCGGTCTGTCAGCACAGCACATTAAAATCCCTCCATCCGTCTTCACTTGTGGTTTATAGCGATCCACGAGAGACAGAACTTTACAGCATCTAAAACACTTTAGTTCTGCAAACAAAGCTGATCTTCCATTAGCCAATTAAACCATTAGCTCTCTCATTCACTCAGTGAAAGCAGTAAATGATATGTTAACCAGACAAAAGGCACTCCGACCACAAATGCAAGTCAACCAGAGTTGGGTGTTCAATAAGATGGAATATTTTAAGCAAAATACTAAATTAAAGTTATAGTTCACCCCAAAAAAATCGAAAATTTGCTGTAAATGTACATATCTTCAATATGTAGATGAGTTTGTTTCTTAATCAAAACAGATTTGGAGAAATGTAGCATTGCATCACTTGCATCACCAATGGATGTGAATGGGTGCCGTCAAAATGAGAGTCCAAACAGCTGATAAATACATCACAATAATCCACACCACTCCAGTCCATCAGTTAAATGAATGTCTTGTGAAACGAAAAACTGGATTTTTTTTACTTTAAACCATTGATTCTGGCTAAAATACGAGTCCATAATCCATAATAACGCTTCCTCCAGTGAAAAAGTCCTCCATCTTCTGTTGTCTCTCACATCAAAATCCACCCACATATTTGTTTACAGCTGTTTTGGACTGTTTTTGCTCGTAAACGGTGCTTGATCTGTGCAGATTTCTCTCCTGATTCAGATGAGACGGATTTTCCACTGCAAAAAGCAATATTATGGATATACGACTTGCATTTGGAAGAAACAGTTTGAAGTTGAACATCTTAATGATGGATTTGTTTCTTACAAACACGCAGCTTTTCACTTCACAAGGCATTAACTGATGGACTGGAGTGGTGTGGATTACTTGTGGATTATTGTGATGTTTTTATTAGCTGTTTGGACTCTCATTCTGACGGCACCCATTCACATCCATTGGTGAGCAAGTGATGCAATGCTACATTTCTCCAAATCTGATGAAGAAACAAACTCATCCTAATCTTGGATGGCCTCATGGTGAGCACATTTTCAGCAATTTTATATTTTAGGTGAACTATTCCTTTAATTCTCTTTGGTCACCAAATCAGGTTCAACAGTAAATTACTATGATATAAGCAATAATATAAATCTTCATAGAAAGCTCTTATGCAGATGTGATTTATGTGATGAATGCACTTGACATGTCGATTCGACTAGATTGAATTGACTACATTTTGTTTTATTTTTTATTTTCAGGAACCCGATAATGATGCACCTAAAACAGGAGTTCATAATCATATTACTGAAACTGAAAGGTATATGCATTGCCGGAAATTGACAAACTCACCAGAAGCTCTCCGGACAAATCTGTTGAAAACTGGAGCTGAAAGGAAAGAAAGAAAAATTACTCATATAGTGCATTACAGTAAAACTGAATATTAATGCCTATAAAATCTTTAATTCAATATGCCACAGTAATGGCCTAGATGGATATCACACAGCCTGACCAAAATCTAAACGTTTGCCTCTTAATTGATACTCCCTCTGATTGACACACATCACATGGTCATAGAAACACAAAACATTTGCATGCGCAAAACAATACAGGAAAAGGCCTCGTGCCAATATTTTGTCCTAATGCACACAGGGCCTAGCATCATTTTTATGAATATAAACCAGATCGTCCATCAAAAAAAGCAATCAAATTAGAACGCTTAGATTATAAAAACAGGAAGTGCAATAACAAAAAATATCATTTAAAGCCAATTAAGCCTGGTCTTTTGTTCCGATCCCCTTCTGCAAAAAATGAGATGTGTGATCATGCATTACCAGTGAACAAAAGAGCAGTGTTTTGAGCATTAAAGCATACGCTATTGTGTATATATAACTGGGGATCTAGCTGATGCGATGGACGCAGCGTCCTAGTATCGCAATGAATGAAGGAAGAGCGCACGCACGCACGCATGAATTACCTATGAATTCTTCATCATCATCCTCTTCCTCTCCGTTTTCGGAGTCGATCTGCATGGCCTCCTCGATGAAGTTGACGGCTTTCCCCGCTCGCGCGGCTGAATTAAGCGCATTGCCGAACGCGCCGCCGCGGGTCTCGTTCTCCTTGAGACGCGTGAAGTACTGCAGGGCGAACTCCAGCAGGTCCCCCGGCTGGTTCCTGAGGACCTCCACGGTAAAGCTCTGCAGAAGCTCCGTCAAGCCCTCGGGGATTTCTATACTCATTTCCTGACGGTGAAATGTGCGCAAAATTCGGCCCGATCTTGCGCGTAAAACAGTCGGTCCCGTTTCGCCGCGTCAGCTGAGAAGAATGACCCGCAAACGCGTCAGAGGGAACGCGACGGATTTCTCACTATTCCACCATCTGCGTCTGCTTCCTCTCGTGTCCGACCGTGTCCTCTAATTTGCGGGTGTATAAATGGCAGGGAATTCAAGAGCTGGCATCCCTTTTTTGCGTTGCGTTGCTGGCTACAGGAAAGCCGCCGCGCATGCGATGCGGGAAACCATTTGACGGCTTTCCCCGCTCGCGCGGCTGAATTAAGCGCATTGCCGAACGCGCCGCCGCGGGTCTCGTTCTCCTTGAGACGCGTGAAGTACTGCAGGGCGAACTCCAGCAGGTCCCCCGGCTGGTTCCTGAGGACCTCCACGGTAAAGCTCTGCAGAAGCTCCGTCAAGCCCTCGGGGATTTCTATACTCATTTCCTGACGGTGAAATGTGCGCAAAATTCGGCCCGATCTTGCGCGTAAAACAGTCGGTCCCGTTTCGCCGCGTCAGCTGAGAAGAATGACCCGCAAACGCGTCAGAGGGAACGCGACGGATTTCTCACTATTCCACCATCTGCGTCTGCTTCCTCTCGTGTCCGACCGTGTCCTCTAATTTGCGGGTGTATAAATGGCAGGGAATTCAAGAGCTGGCATCCCTTTTTTGCGTTGCGTTGCTGGCTACAGGAAAGCCGCCGCGCATGCGATGCGGGAAACCATGGCAACCAGCAACCCGGGATTTGCGCAGGAGGAACGCGAACGCGACGCGATGAGCTAGAACGCAACGCGAGCTCTTAAATAATCCCTGCGATTTCACACGAAAGATATTATGACGTTTTTGGACGCGTACCATGGTATTACTATAGTATTGTTTTAGATCACCATATTGCAGTGTATGTAAATAGCACAGGCCTATATGAATATGGAAATCATTCAGGACTATGGTAGGGAAGACCGGGGCTAGTTGTCACACTTTTTTCTCTTTTACATATATTTCTCAAGATTTATTTAAAGGCACCTTCAGTACATAAACAAACTTGACTACTAAAATAAGTAAATACAAATAAATCGATATACGTTTTACATAAAATAAATCATGAAATGACAAAATAAAAAAGGTAACAAAAATAGAATGTTGTCCATCAGAAACTTAAATAAAATCATTTAATATAAAATAATTTTTTTATAAATATTATATCAACTAAAATTACAATATACAGTATGTATGTAGGCTATATATAAATATTATATAAAATTACAATATAGGCTACAGTATGAATCTCCTGTGACAACCTACCCCAGCCTGACTTTTATGAAAAAACCCAGAGAACATAGTTCAGCAAGACATTTGGCAATTCAATTCAGACTTTACAGTCAGTGAGAGATAAACTTTTCCTGTGTGACAACTAGCCCCGGTCTTCTTTAATATATACAGTATCAAAGTACCATTACCAACACTGTACATAAAACTGTGTCACATCATACAGATTCAAGACAATGCAGAAGATGGTATGAGGTAAAGTGCTATATATTCAGCGTTGTGCCTCTTTAGAGTGACGCTTTCAAAAATAATTAAGTTAATGGATAAACAGAGACCTCAGGCAGAATTAGACTGAGTGGGTTGCTGGTTAATCCCTGTTTGACGACAAATATGAGCTGATTATGTTGAGATTATTAAGCGTGAATACATTTTAAAATTGGAGAGTAGAGTTTGACCTTCTGGGAACAATTAGATTGTTGTTATATAAAGGTGTGAGGCCTTCGCCCCTCTCTCTAAATCTATTCTGTGTTTAGAATAGAATAGAATAGAATAGAATAGAATAGAATATTAAAATAACTTTTTGGGAAACAAAAGATACATGGAGACATATTAATATTAATGATAGTCAGAGCACAAAAATCATGGCAATTTTTTTACAATGCATTCAGCAGTGAAATATATAAAAAAATATATAGCATTTTTGATAATCAACTGTACAGTTTACAGCTAGACTGCCATCTGCTGGTCACTGGTGGACGGACACTCACAAATGTCTTCGTGCCACAAAAGAGAAAAAAGCAGTCTGATTAAATTTAGATCATTTTTACATTGACAGTATTTAATTAATTAATTTATTATTAACATATTAATTTAAAATGTTGTCTAGAGAGCTCAAAGGGTCAAATAGCTCAGGCTACGACTATGTTTGACAAAATACACACATAAGTGAAAGTTAAATGTGCACAAAGTATTTTTTCCCACTTAGATTTTTCCACTTAAGTTTTACTTTTGATTAATCTGTTTGAAATGTTAAAATATGTTTAAAATTATGATAAACAATTTGTACATCTCTGATTGGTTGTTTAGACAGCATGTTTCCACCATGGGATAATTTTTATTTTTTTTAAAGGTAATTTTGGCTTTATCTCAGAATTCAGATTTTTCTCGCAATTGTGAGAAGTAAAGTAAGAATTGTGAGATGAAAAGTCGCAATTACCTTTATTTTTTAATTCCATTGCGGTGGGGGGACAAAACAGAATTGTTAGGTGTAGACTTTTGGAGTTTATTTTGATGATGAGTTTATTTTTGTTTAGAATATTGGAAACTGATATGAGTTTTTCAACAAAGCGGAGCCCGTGAAATTACAAGGCCGACAAATATATTGTCTCCGAATTAAGAATTCTTTCCCTCGTTTTATAGATAAAACATGCCATATGTGTGTGTGTGTGTGTGTGTATATATACATAAATCTTATATATTGTTGATGTTGAATATTTCAGTATATCGTTTCATATTCAACAGATTTAACCAACAAAGACCAAAACACTTTGTATTTGGATGTCATTTCTAACCTCTATGACTTCTTCTTTGCGACACAGAAAGAGAACATTTGAAGATTATTTTCTGTTGATGTTTGAATATTCAGAGATGTGAATGAGATTCAGTGGAAAGACTGAGAGGGAATAACTTAAATTTTGTTCCTCATGGAAGGTTATCAAAGTCATATACATAATAGACTTATGTTTCTTTCATGGTGCTTTTTGTCCATTTAATATGTTTTTTTTTTGTCCTTGACAGGACCATTGTATAGAGGAGAACAGCAGTGTAAAATTCTTCAAAATGTATCATTTTATGTTTCAAAGAAGAAAGAAATGGATACAGGGGTTTGGAAGGACATGAGGGTGAGTTTTGAATTTTATGAGAAAAATTATTTTGTTATTTATTATTTATTTATTCATTCATTTAGTCATTAATCATTTTGATGGTGAACTCGCATTGGTTTGGCATCACAGCGACGGCAGTCTTTAGTGCATATAATAAAAACTACAATAGTATATAATACTAAAATAACACTTATTCAGAGGGATATTCAGCTTGTTTTGGTGTTCTAGATGTACATTATAGTCCACTAGGCAAAAAATCAATAATTCCAATCATCTTTTGCTGATCATGGCTTTTAAAAGGTTAAAAACTCGATCTGTGACATTCATTTAACCTTTGAATCACATCAAGATTACAGTTTTTCCCAGCAGTTTTGCAAAAACACTGTATCTTCAAGACTGAAATCCACAAAGTTCAGAAAAAAAAGTTCAAAAACTGATTTTTTTTTTTTTTTCAGATTGCAATACGTTTTACAAGAAAATGCGGATTCAGTCTTTCTACATCAAAATTTGAATTGCCATTTCTTTGTAATATAAATTTCTGAGTGAAAATTGCTTCAAAGGAAATCCAGATTTTTTTTTTCAGTGATGTGAAAATAACATGACTCTGATGTTGCTGCATTTGATGATGCACAACACTAAGTGTGCAGCTCATACTTTCTTCCGAGACAATGATTTTATAGCTTAGATGATTTAATAGAGATCTCATTGATGTCTTATTTACACTGAACAAAATTATAAACGCAACACTTTTGTTTTTGCCCCCATTTTTCATGAGCTGAACTCAAAGATCTAAGACTTTTTCTATGTACACAAAAGTGTATTGTGGCCAGCCTAAGGCACACCTGTACAATAATCATGCGGTCTAATCAGCATCTTGATATGCCACACCTGTGAGGTGGATGGATTATCTCGGCAAAGGAGAAGTGCTCACTAACACAGATTTAGACAGATTTGTGAACAATATTTGAGAGAAAAAGTCTTAGGTCTTTGAGTTCAGCTCATGAAAAATGGGGGCAAAAACAAAAGTGTTGCGTTTATATTTTTGTTCAGTGTAAGTATCAGATTTCTCCTAACTGTCTTGGGAGTCAGTAGTATGTCAGTAAGACTATAGAGCTATAAAATGAATGTGGAGAGCAGTTCAGATCATTTGATCTTCTCTAGAGGAGAAACATGAGATTACTGGAGCCTTTTTCTCATGAGAAAATTTCACCTAGCCTCCTTTTTTTTTTTTTCTAACCTGTGGGTGGAAGTGTTCTTCATGCACTCACTCTTAGTTGTGGTGGTGACCGTCGTGAGGTTGGGGTACATTAGGTGGATGTCAATAATAATGGTGCTGGAGCAGACGGGACCTATGCCTATTTGGGAAACAAAGTGATCTGATGTTCCCTCAAATGGGGAACCAGTCAAAGTAACCTGTTTAAAACCCAAATGAAACAGATTGTATTCATTGTTTTAAACTTTAGAATGATGAGAATCTGAACAGAATTCCAAAATGAAAGCTCCACTGAGGAGAAACAGCTTGCATATTAAAGCGATGCCATTGTTGATTTCTCTTTCCTCCAGATAAAGCATCTTAGCGTGGCTTGAATTCACCTGATGCTTCGAAGTCCTCAGTGAGTGGGTTCGGGTGGCTAAATCATAGTGGCTAAATTTGGGCCCTGGGTGGCTGCTTGGGCATTTGGTGGACTTCTTCAATGTAAGTCAGTGGGATTTTTCACAATGAGCAACAGTATAGTGATACTTGCCTATACACTAATTAACCCTTGTGCGTCAATTAAAAAAAAGTTACACATAGGTCCATAGTGGACAAAAATGTCCATGTCAAAAAACTGTCATAAAAATTTGAAGCTTGGGAGCACAGAGTTAAGTTTGGTCTCATTTTAAAGAAGACCCATGGCAGATTATTGTTGAAGTAAAAAAAGTTTAAAAAGTGAAACCAAAAAAAAAGTTCTAGATGTTTAGGTTTATGAAAATGATTTATGAACGATGTTTTATATAAAATATATATTTTATGAAACATGTTGAACTCTATACCTGCTAGAAAATCAAAGCCATAAATCTAAACAAGTTGTGTTCCAAGTTTGAGGTTGATATCTCAAAAAATGTGCTTTCAGTATGTTGTTTGGGCGCAGTACCAAATTTTCCCCATTAGATGCCAGCAAAACTCTGCTGGTGCACACAGTGGTTGGATTTGTGATTTGCAGTAGA